ACGGTCCTCTCTGCCTTTTTTTTTTTTTTTTTTCCTTCCCTCCCCTCCCCGGACCGCAAAGGCGAGATTAAAAGTGGCATTTTAGTGCCTTTTCCTGCAATTTTCTCTACAGGTTTTTTTTTGGGTGTTTTTTTTGTTTTGTTTTTTTTTTACTCCAGTAGCGATCTCTGGGGCTGAGGTTTCCGCAGAAAGTTTGGGGGCTGTTACGGTGTGTATTTTTGCGGAGGGGGAGGGGAGCGGGCTCCTTCTGTGTGTGCTGCTCCTCTGGGTGCCTATTGGAGAATAATAGTGTAAGTGACAACCTAGAAGTAGACTTTCTGCTCTTCACACTGGATAGAAAAGCTGCCTTTTTTTTCCTTTGCCTTTTTTTTTTTTTTAAATAACCCCCTTTCTCACTTGCTCCTGTACGCATTGGTTTTATTTTTGAAAGGATAGCTAGACTTAAGTCACCCTCCACCCCAATTTAAACCTGCTACTTTATTTTTTATTATTATTATTATTATATTATTATTATTATTCTGAATTCCTCGTTTTGAGCGTTACACTTGTCTGATCAATTTGATCTTCAGCTCCTTCTTCCGTTGCTAAACCTCGAAAACTGGCTCTCTCAAAAGATATTTAATCTATTTTTTGTCCATTGCCATTTTTGCTCATGGCTACTCTGTTTCTCGCTATCTGTTTTTGCCCCTCCCCGCCTAGAGGAAAATAGCAACACGAAAAAAAGAAAAAATAAGAGAATATTAGGGGAAGTAGTCCTCAGGTCTGCTGCCCCCCTCTCCCCCCCTCCAAAAAGGGGGGGACCTAGAAAACATCAGTCTTGAACTTCTTCCTCTTCAAGAGCTCGGGCTGCAAAGGAAACCTCCTTTGTTTTTGTTATTTATATGCTGTCAAGTTTTGAAGTGGTGAGTTTCGGGTCGGTTTTGCTAATTTCACTCAGAAAACTGCAGTGTTTCTGTTTCTAGATAAGTACTTTGCTTCTTTGTCTCTTTAAAAGGTCACAGGGAAAGCTTGGCCTGGATTGTGAGAGCCATATGGAACGGATAAGTGCGGAGCCTCTCTCAAATGTGATTATGGGGTTTTATGGGGGAGGGAGGGAAGAGGAGGGGAAAGGCATGGGGAGGGGGCTGATTCAGGAGGAGAGAAAGAAATAATATAATACCGGCGGCGTTACATCGCGACAAAAGGAGATACCGCACCGACTCTCATTCAGAAATTGCGCGGTGTGCCCGTACGCGTACGCTGTCTCTGGGAAACTGTGCCTTGAAATTGTGCTCTTCTCTCAATGCCTGTGATGAAAACTTGTAGTTGTGAAAGATGCCTAAATGCGAAACCCGGGGAAACTCTTGGCCTGGAACCGGCGGAGATGATAGTTCTTCCCTGCAACCCTCTCCCTGGGCAGGCCACGCTGGTTGTTGCTCATCACTATTCCAAACTGAGGTTTCAGTGAACTTTAGCCTTGGGCATGGAGTTTAAATGAGTAAATTAGGTGTTTTATGTGCATGTAATTTTGCTTTGTAACATAAAGCTTTTTACAAGATGACTAAGCGGTGAAAGGATGCCGATGGGTGGGTATTCTCAGGCCAAGCGAAAATGACCCTTTTGGTGTTTTGGTTGTAGTCAGTGCATTAACTAAACTGCGATCTATCACTTTTATTCACTGTACATGATGTAGTGCGATTCTGACTCATGATGACTAGATACTTTTTGTAGCAAAGAACCTGGGTGCCTTAGAGTACTTCTGAAGTTGCCAAAAGTGACAAGGGTTTTCTTGTTTCAGGCTTTTTTTTTTTCTTAAACTCTTCCCCCCCCCCCCTTTTTTTTCTTTTTTGTTAATCCTCCTCTTCTTGAGAAAGACCAGTCTCAGAGAAGCAGTCCTATAGTATGTTAGCATCGTCAGTAACATCGGAAGATGTTAACGGTTTGAGTCTGTAATTCTTTGCTTAGGCTGCAGTTAACACAGTAAAAAAAAAAAAAAAAAAAATCTTTTCGAAAAGTGGCTAAAATAGGCACGTTTACTGTTAATGAGACACACCACCTAAACCAGATGGGATCAAGATGAATGGTAAACCTTAGCCTGTCACCTCACAGCATAAGGAAAAATAACGATTTTCTGAACTTTAGCTATTCAGTGGCATTCTTGAGGTTGCTTGTAAACGTTCAGATTAATATATTACCTCTTCCTTCACCGTATCGGGAAAAGCAGCATGGTGTTCAAACAAGGAAAAAATAGTTTACAGAATTGTCATTGTCATATATACCAACGACATAGATGTATAGAAAAAAATCCCAAGATGTTTGGGCTTTAATAGCTTTGCTATGAAACATGCAGAAAATGTATTGAATTACTAGGCAACTGAAAGAAAGTAGCAATTATCAGATTCACACCAGTCTTTCTAAATATGACTTTCCCAGTATTTGTATTTGTACTCACTAATGTAAATACTGGTTCATAAATTAATGTCTAGTCACCTGTCCTTAGTGATTATATTATATGCATAACATAATTGTCAGTGTAGTCACACCTTTCTTAGTCAGAGAAAGGTAGGGTAAAATACCTAACAATGACAACAGTATTGATGAATGAAATCATAACCAGAAAGATGTCTCTGTTCTCAGCAACTGATTTTTTTTTTTTTTTTTTTAATATATATACTTGGCAAAACAAATTCTGATGAGTGACAAAAATCCTCAAAACTTACTCCGTTACGTTCTAGGCTTGGGAGATTCTTAGTGATTTAACTGGAATTGTTATTCATGGACGGAGGCTTCAAAAGTTTATAAAAAGGGAAATATAAGCATGCTAGCACATAACTTTTCTTAATTTGCTATTGAAATTACTTCGGATTTTTGGTTTCAAATAGCTGTTTCAGCATGTAACTTAGCATCACTCAGGGTTTTTTTTTTAATATTTAAGGGCTTCAAAAGTACTGTAGAAATTGTGGGGAGTTTTCCCAGCGTTATGTTTTGTGAGATGCTACCTTCTCAGTTATTTTTCTTAACTCAATAAACTACTCCATTTAACACTTAAAGCTTAACATCTGAAAAATTTCATATGCATATTTTGAACTTTGCAAAAGTTGGTAAACTCCTTGTATAATATTGGTTAGGAAACTCAAAAGCAACCATCTTCCGCCACTGCTTTCTGAAGTTAAATGTTAAATTCTCTTCCAACTTTTATTTTTAAGGGGGGGAGGAATTGTAAATGGACAATATTCTACATCTCTAATAAATCTGTTGCTCCCTCAACTAAAGTTTTAACAATCTATTGTTGTGCATCCATTTTTTAATCAAGTAGATCGAGGAATGTTTCACTAGAATCTCTTTCTTTCCCTGTCTCTCTCTCTCTCTCTCTCTTAGCACAATAAAAACACTCGGGATTAATAACAAACCTTTCTGTTGGATTTGTAACAATAGCTGTGTTGGAGCACATACCTTGACAATCATCATCATTTATATGAGACTTAGTCTCTCTCAGATTTAGTAGAATATCACTGAAGATTTTTTTTTTTTAAAGGGTACTCTAGTTGGCTTTTAAAAAATAATTCCACCAGATTATGATGCGATCTGTCTGTTAACTGGGGTATGAGGTCATTTTTGGAGAATAAGTTTGTTTCTTTTAAAAAAGGCATCTTCTTTCCCGTTAAAATAGTTATTTATTCTTCTTTATGAGCTTACGATACATCTCTCTCTCTCTCTGTACATGTGCAGGCTGTGTACGTATACATATGCGCACACGTGTACAACATATATATTTTTTTTTTGAATCATGGCAGGTGATCTTTAGAGGCGGGACTGAGTATGGATCATTTGAACGAGGCAACTCAGGGGAAAGAACATTCAGAAATGTCTAACAATGTAAGCGATCCGAAGGGTCCACCAGCCAAAATTGCGCGCTTGGAACAGAATGGGAGCCCATTAGGAAGAGGAAGACTTGGAAGTACGGGAACTAAAATGCAAGGAGTGCCTTTAAAACACTCTGGACACCTGATGAAAACTAATATTAGAAAAGGTAACACTTTTGATAATTCTGCATTAGAGAAATATGATTTATAATATTTGGGGGGGGAAGCATACTTTTGCAGACTCTACTTCATTTATATTTCAGGATTAAATCTCCATACTAAAATACTATATATTCCCAACTCTGATATAAATCACATTTGGGAAATGTAAGCTTCATGCTTGGGTGGAGCATCTTGCTTTACAGGGTGGAGTCTGATTTTTGTTAAGGTAAAGGCTAGCTGCCCCGATTAAAGCAGATTCCTACATTGAAATAGAAGTAATATAATGCATTAATTCTTTGAGTAAGTGTTGGGCTAAGAAACGCAAAAATATGTAAGAGTAAATACCAAACCCCCAAAACAAATTCTCGCCTTTCCTCTTAACGATGGTCCAAGCTTGGAAAGGCAGCAGTATTTCCATAACAGTTGCAAGTTGGTTTAAAGGAGAGAGTGTAAATCTTTAGGTATCACATTGGAAAAGTCATTTATGATGTCAATCTTCGCAGTTTATTTTCTTAAGTACAATTCATTATTGAACAATGAACAACTTGGGTGTCATATTTTTCAGTGGCTGGTTTGCTGTAATTAGACATTTACACAAGGAAAAGGCACATTTAGAATCATTGATGTTTGTATATGGATGGCTTTTGTTTGCATTGAAAATACTTTTAATGGACAATAATCTATAAATTTTGCTTATCAAAATGTGTAAGTCTTCTTGACCATGTCCTGCAGGCTTGCTAATTTAAATCAAAATATGCTGCGTGTAATTTGGCATTTGTTTTAAAACAGCCTCTACTTTTCTCAGTATAATCGGTGTATATTTATAATCCAGATTTTTCTTGCATTTGCTAAGCAAAGTGCAAAATGCAACCAAGACTATTAAATGCACAAAGTTAGAAGGCAGAGGAATTTCATTGTGTCTGATGCATAACATTTATCGTACAATCATTTATTTTTTCCTCGGTTTGGCGAAAACAAAGAATATATTGATCCTGAAATGAACAGACACAGCAGTCCGTATTGTTAGATCTTTATCTATTAAAAATGGAAAAACAGCACTTCAGCAAATTCTTTGGCCTCTGCTCATGATTACCCTATTTATTGATTGTTTGCCAAGAATGTATGCATCTTAAGAAAGCGGGGTAAGAGCATTAAAAATATAATTTATTACGGCTTTTCAAGCAGAGTGCATTAATATTGTACAGTGAAGCAGTGGGGCTATATAAAAAGGACTTTCTGACGCCTGCAAACATATAAGTTCCATAAATTCCTAAATAGGAGATTTCAGCTGTCTCTGGTATTATGTGATATTTGCACAGCAAACTTTAATGCCAGGACAGTTTTAGACAAGGATTCTACAGACTTCACTGCTCCTTATGGCAGACGTGCTGTTTACACAGGCTCGTAAACCTTCAGCAAAAGCTCTAACACTGCCTTCAGGTTTAAATCATGCTGTATTTTTAGCAGCGAGCACTGACCAATGCTCTCCCCTTTAATACTAGAAGGTTATGAAGTTGCTGCACTTGGAGGTCTTGCCAAGTACTAGCAGGAGTGATCAGCCAGCTGAGATTGTGCTCTCCTGTATAACATTTTTCACATTAACAGAAGGACACTAGTGACAGTTTGCTAAAAGATTTAGTGGCTTGATTTGTAGTCAGATGATACCTGTGTTGCACTACCAGGATCCACCTCTGAAAAGCTACGCTGTACATCAAAATTTGCCCAGGAGGTTCTCCTGTGTTGTTTAAAGTACCACATTTTTCAGAATGCTGCAACTCACAGCAAAAAGTGTACCTGGCAAAAAGTGTGCTTGACGTGCAGCGAAGTACCTGTGCATTGCTAGTTTTGTGTCTGATCATAGCTTAATTTGTAGGAACTGATAAGGGAAAAAACAAATACACTGTAGCTGGTTTTGAGTGTATCTGCACTGTTTGTTAAAATGAAGCTTTGTTTACGTTTTATCTTAAGGTATTAACAGTGAAACTGCTTAAGAATTTTGAGCCCTTACTCTGAGTCAGACGGTAGTAGGTCAAACATCAATTGTGAGAGCCTGGAAGGAAAAAAAAAAAACCCACCACCTTTTTGCAGATGAAGGGTGTGAGTTTTAGAAAGCTCTCCACAGCTTAATTAAAACCAATAAAGAGATCACCAGTTTGCACGTACTGGTTTTGCTTTGGTCTTCTCTCCCTTCCTGACCAGTCTCACTTAGATTTAAAAAAAAAAAAAGGACAAAAAAAAAAAGCTTCTTCCTGCACTACATAAATATTGGCAAGCTTTTAGTCTTGTCTTTCATGCTGAGCCTATTGGGCAAACTGAAGTGAGTTTGTGAGCTTTTCCAAGCGAGCCTGAAGGGGTTTGTTTGCCGGAGATTGACTCTCTGGTGAACAGATGTAGTTTAAATATACGTGCTTAAGAGGTATCTTTTTTATCGTGATTTCTTGCTATACGTTAGAGCACAAATCAACAGACACGGTCTTAAAATGCGTATCTATTGTCAAGAGTAAATCTTCTTTTTTGACTACGGTGTGTCTGGTGCACCATATCAGGTTAGGAGGCTTCCTAAGTCTAGAGGGCAGTGGTTGTAGAGGCATTAACATTGTAGGACTAATTGGAGTTCCTGGGTGCCCTGTTAAAATAACCCTTGTCATCATTTATGCTAAAGATGATACCCCGCTGGCAGGCTGCCATAAGACAGTTCTGTACATCTGCTTTTAACCCTTTTGCTTTCTGTCATTAAGAGATCCTAACCTGCGCTGCTGGAGACAGTGGGACAGGACCGGGGCCTTAAACCGTGTGTCCGAGGTCATTGTGTCATCCGCATCCGTCTGGGAGGCCAGGAGGGGTTGTCACAAAGTCTAGAAATCTGATTGCTGGGAGAGATTTTGTCCCTAAAACAGCTTGGGTCATTTGTTACTTCTCTGTCTGTTGTCAAAAGGGAGAAAAAAAATAATAATAAAAAAAAAAAAGCCAAAGGAAAGGGGAAAAGGTTGTTTGCTTAATATTCTGTGCAGCATAGGGAAGGGTTTGTCGTATGATGCTACAAAACTAGAAATTAGTAATTACTTTCAGGCATACCAAAATAGCAATGCATACCAGAAACGTTGAACGTAAAGTACAGGAGGCAACCAAAAAAAAAAAAAAGCCGGAACTGCAGGTACATTTCTTAAAACGGTGTTGAAATCATGATTTGTTTCTTAAAGATGCGAGTGAAAGTAGTGCTCAAGTGCACTCAATGAATGAAGCACGAATTAGTGTTAACTTTTGCCTTGTTTCCTTGTGTACTCTTTTCAGAGCGAATGTATAACACGCAAGGTGATTTGTTGTTGATGTTGAAGGCAGTTAAATATTTTTGGCAGGACTAAGAAAGTTTTAATGTTAACGAACAAAATTATGTGGCTGGTACTAAAATGGCTTACGGTGAAGACATCTGCAGTATGTATTTAGGTTCTCATGCTGCCTGCTACTCACAACAAATCAGGCAGGACAGAGAGAATCAACTTCTCTTCAGTCAACCTTGTTATTTCTATAGAAGGTAATTCTTTAATCTGTATCCGATCAAGCGAGATAAATTTGCATTTCTGCTTTTCAGAGAGATGTATGTTTTGTAGAACTTTCTCTTTTTTGGGGAGGGTGAGGGGAAAGGACTCGGGGAATATGTTTATCAAATATTTGTGATGATTCTTGATGCCTCCTCTGCCTGTTCGTACAGGTTTTATTTACATAACGCTGTGTAGACCCACCTACTTTACTATAACTCAAGTTTAATACGTTAAATTTAATTTTTTTTTTAATAGGAAGTATGCTTCCAGTTTTCTGTGTAGTGGAACATTATGAAAATGCCATTGAGTATGATTCTAAGGAGGAGCATGCAGAATTTGTGTTGGTGAGGAAGGATATGCTTTTCAACCAACTGATTGAAATGGCATTGCTATCACTTGGATATTCTCACAGCTCTGCTGCCCAAGCAAAAGGTAAATAAGATTACAAAATTGTACAGTGAATTATGTTTGTTTGTGGGGTCTTGGGGGAGGGGCGGGATTTCTTTCAGGAATGCGATGCAGGTTTTACTACTTAAACTTCTTGCAGATTCTGTCTCTGTATTTTTTTTTCCTTAATGTATTTTTGTTTAGTTAGTGCACGTTTTGTTCGTGGGGAATGTGGAGGTAGATTTTTTTTTGTTTAAAGAAAAAAAAAAGACTTCAACTGAATCATTAGTATGCTTATTGACCTTAATAATCTGCTCCACTGAGGATCCACAAGGAAGTGTAAAGCATATTTGAGCAGATGGACTGTTGAGAGTCAACTTGCATTTATGACTGAATATCCAGCTCTGTTTCTTTTATTTTGTTCCTGATGGTTTTATAGACTGCAAAGTATTTTTTTTTTTTTTTTTTACTCAGTCCTTGCATTGCAAAATCCTGTCTAATTTATTAAGAGGAATGCTAACTATTATATCATGTCCTATTGAATTCATGGGAACTTAGGAAAATATACTCCTATACATATTAAAAAATCTCTACTGTAATGCATTTGTATAATTTCATAATACAGATAAAGCATATCCTTGGTGGTGTGTGGGTGGGGGTTTTTTTGGGGGGGATGTTCTTTTGTTTTGCCAGATTTAAGAGACTAGAAACAAAGGCGGTGATCTAGTTAAAATCAGATATTTATTTTGCCCCTAGGAATTAACAGGTAAATTACTTTTTTTTTTCAATTTTTCCTGCCGTTCTTGCCCACTCCCCCTCCCCTTAAAAAATAAAAATCCCTCAGGGCTTATCCAGGTTGGGAAGTGGAATCCAGTTCCACTCTCCTATGTGACAGATGCCCCTGATGCTACAGTAGCAGACATGCTGCAAGACGTGTATCATGTGGTCACACTGAAAATCCAGTTACACAGGTAAGTTGCGTACCAGTTCTGGGACGTGAACTGTTACTTGTCTGCTCTTACTGTTAATATTGCTTGTATTTAATTTCCACCGTGCTGTGTGCTCAAAAGTACAAAGGTTTATCTAAATTCCTTTTTAGTTACTCTAATTCTTCTTTAACTTACAGTATACCATTGCAGAAAACTTTTATGGCTCTGATACATAGATTTTCTTTGGATATCTCATTAAAACTATATTGCATTTTAGTCAATTAAATGATGCATTACAAGAAGGCATTTTACATAAAGTTTACTTAAGAGAAAAATATTTTTGCATATCATGAACAGTACCATCTGTGTGCATTTTGTAAAAGAATGACTTGCTCACACTTATTGTTGCTGTCTAGGTTCTTAAATTTCACGGTAACAAAAAAGAAAAAAACGGTTAATATATTAACGCTTTTCATGATCAGTCGTGAGAAAGCATTACACCTTAAATTGTTTTACCAAGCGCATCAGAGCAGGAAGGTAGAAGTAACATGAAAAAATAGTCGCCACATGCAGCTGATGTATAATTCATGCATCAATACAGCAGATGTGTTGTATAAAGTAATTAACTAATCGGAACAATCAGGAGACCGAGAGCAATCTCCAGATGCATCTGCTTGATGCGCAAAATGAAATCTGTCTGTCTTAAAGGAATGTTCTGCAGCAGGATGCAATCTTGTAATAATCCCTTTTCTAATCTGTGTTTCAAATAGTTGCCCTAAACTAGAAGACTTGCCTCCTGAACAATGGTCTCACACAACAGTAAGAAATGCTCTGAAGGACTTACTGAAGGATATGAACCAGAGTTCATTGGCCAAGGAATGTCCCCTTTCACAGGTACTTAGCATAACACGTAATAAATAATAAAGCACTATAGGCAATGCTGATGTGAGATTTGAGATTTCTACAGACTGTAGCAAGTAGTACCCGTGGAGTGAATCTGCCAAAAATGCAAATTCATTTGACCACTTCATGATCTTTATAAATATGCCTGATTCATTTTGAACATAGCCTTGCAACGTTTCCCATGGGGAGTCGTGAAAGGTTGTTTACACCACACTAAAATTGTCTCGCAGCAAACTGGATTTTAACTGGTTTTTGTCTTCAGTCTTTGAACTGCTTTGATGTAACTACTTTTTTCAAGCACATGTGTTCAAGATGTTAAAAGGCTCTTTACTTACTGCTGTCAAAAGTACTATTGAGTCTGAATGCTTGTTAGATAACCTACAGTAGTTTTAAATGTTAATTCATAAAATGAGACAGTCTTTGGCATGCTATATAAGAAGGGAATAAAGAATAAAGCTCTTTGGATGACGTGTTGTTGTTGCAAACAACCAAAGGAAAATCAGCCATTTATTAGTTCTAATCAAAATATACCTACACAAAAATGAAACCTCAATTTATGCATCGCTAAATGTTGAACTGATGCTTCCTCAAGCCTTAGTCGTATTGTTCTTTTTTTGCCATTTTTTTTGTCATTCTTTTGTCAAATTACTGTGAAGGCGCAACTTATCCTTCTGTGCGGTACGGTGTCCAATGATGCTGTGGTGGGAACATCATATTTATTTTTACCTTTTAAATTTTAAAATGTATTTTGTTGTGGTGCAGTGGAGACAAATTGAGTATACAAATGAACGATGCTAGTTGTGGTATGGAGAGGAAAAAGGAAATTAAGGAAGTATTTTTATGGGGATTTTATTTCTCTTGCTCAGAATATTGGAGTCTTTGTCTCCGAAAGACTTCAGTTAATCTAT